ATAAAAACAATATGAATATTAAAGGTATTAATAGAATCGTGCAAGAAAGTAGATCGATTAAACCAAATTTATACTTGATATATATTTAAATATGTAGTGAAAAATCATTAATTACACGGTCAACCTCGCTATTCCTCCTACGTTTCTATACATATTTTTGACGATTCGCCTTTTTTTTGCAATTTATTAAACTACGGGTAATTCTATAACGATGGAGAAGAAAATTATAAATATTCTTAAGTATTCGTTATTATCAACGGTGTCATGTAGAATTCGAGAGTTTTTGTTGCAATGTCATTTGAAAAACAAGCTTTGTATAATTTTCTATAGATTGTTAGATTAATATGAGGTAACTTATGCATCCTGTTTTTCTACGAAAACTTCATTACATAAAATAAAATCTGTCTACTTCGATTTATCATACAAACAACAGCTTTTCGACTGCTATTAAGTGTAATTTCATCAGAGTCGCATATTTCCATAGACACTTAAGCGGTTAAGTTTATAAGAATATTTTTGGCTATTTCGAAAAAAAAAAAAGTTTGATAAGCAAACATTAATAATTCATATAAATTTTTGAAGTTATAAACATTTTTCAAATCAGTTTAAAACTCAAAAAAACAGAGTCCGTAATTGTGAAATGGCCAAAATTATTCATTAATGAATTATTATTCGTTTTAATGGCCATTTCACCATTATTTATTTGAAAAGATGTATTTTAATGGTCGAAATGGGCTAGCTACAAGTAATAAAGCATTTTAATGACCATTTCTTCATTATTCACGTGACTGGGTACTTGAATTATCATCATAACCTAAATAAAATTCATTATTGTCTTTATCCCTTTTGTAAAAGTATACTTACTAGTTACTTCAATTATATCGATGACTGAACTCAAACTGGTCTTTTTGTCTTTTTGCCCATTATTACAGATTATTCCTCACTTCAAATATAATGAAAACGAAAATTATATTTCTAATTGCTCGATTGCCTATTCCACTATCATAGTCGCTACTTCAATTAGAGTTATAATGTAAATAAAATCTATATTCTGGTTGTTGCGTTCTATAAAATTATGCTATTATGCAAAATTATGCATAATATTGAAGTAAGAATTCTATTTTTGTCTTGTCCCTTTTCTAAAAGTATAGTCATTACTTCAATGATTTTTATTACTGAATTAAAATTGATCTTAGGCTTTTTGCCAATTCAGATAGGTTATTCCGGACTTCAAATCTAAATTAAACGAAAATTATATTTCCATGCACTTTCTGGCTTATGCCGCAAGGATAGTCCTGGCTTGACTTGTAATGATAATGAAAGTATAATTTATATTAGCTGTATTTGATCATAATTAGCTGAGTAAAATCTATACTTGTCGTTTTGACCGTTCTGGATTTGGATTGAGAGGAGGCCAGCATCTACGTCAAAATTATGCTATCGTTACACACTTCACTGTCTCGGACTATTTCTGACTCTCTATTTGTGAACCATAATTAGGTAACAGTCAGTTAGTTAACTCTTGGACTGCCTACATTCCTGGCACGAAACAGGTGACTGGACAAGAACTTTATAGAAAAACTAAATAATGACTTAAATTTTAGTATCGAAATACCAGACTAGTTCATAGTTAGATAGAGAAAACGTCTGACAGGTCAAACCTCTAGCCTAGAAAAATATAATTAGCTGGAATAACAATTTGGAAAACCCTCATTGTGTGAGAGTTCGATTGGCTAAAATTTTCAGCTGAACAACCTTATTGGACGACAAAGAAACGTCAAAAATATTTGAGTTACATGATGGTTCCCAAGCAAGTAATTACCACCTTGAATACTTATCCTACACTATTACCAAGTTGTATGGACCTGTAATTATACACATGTCACAAAATATACACACACACAAACAAACGTATTTTATTTCATATGATCTTTCCTTCAATCTAGTGAATTGTCATCAACGAAAGAAGTCATTATTGGTTTGATTCCCATGTTGGAATAATCTTTGAGATTTTAGCGGTTTTCGAAAAAGTGGACGTCAAATCGTGATAAAACTTTTTTTAGAAAAAAAATTAGTGATTGAATCAGATTTTATCTTGATTATGGTAAAGAAAACAATTTGTTGAAAATCAACGATGAATCGTATTAAATCACTGATTCCAGTAACTGATTGTGAATTGTCAATTAGCTAGCGACATATTTCAAGATTTATGAAATTGAAAGTTATAATACAATTTTTACACAGTTTTTAACTATACTCATAGAAATTTAAAATAAAAAGAAAGATGCAATGTTGTCAAGAATGTCACTACTATGACATTAACGAGATTGAACATTATGCAGCATAATGTAAGCACTCAATTTTTCAATAAAAATATTGGTTAACCTAACTTAGGTAATAAAAACTCTCAGTATAACAGTAGAAATCAAATTTATATAAAGAAAATCATTTCTCTGATTGATATAGTGAAGGACAATAATCGATCATAAAACCATGATTCGTCTTAAAAATCGTCAAAATTATTAAAAACATCTGCAATTTATTGAGTTTCAGCTCACAATTATTGTTTCAATAAATCGCAATTACTTGTCAATTTTTGGGCGATTTCGAGAACATCGATTATATTTATATGACAAGAAAATGATCGTTATTATCAATTTCAAATGAATCTATGGCAATCTATCGTTGCGATTAACGTTTAATTCAGATTATTTTATTCAATACAAGTATTTAGGTTTTCTATAACCATATTTTCGTTTAATTTTCATCCAATAATATAAGTCAATTAGATCAAGTTGAATTTGAACAAGAAGAGAAATATACTTGAAAGAATAATTTTAAGAAATTCAATTTTTAGTTTCGAAAAACCTTCAGTTACAGTAGTTTTGATGTGAAAAATAGGTCACATAAAATAGATTACTCTAATAGTCATACTTTTATTTTGCATGAGTATTGTTCTTGTTGAATCAAATGCATAGAATCAATGCTCATACATGATTAATTATTCTTGATTGAATCGTAACAACCTTCTTATTTCGAATCGCTTTTCAATCTTGTTTTACTTGCCTGTGCATCCAACAATGTCTCGAACAATCCATAGAAATATTTTACTTGTCAAATTAAGTAATATTTCTCCACTGAATCCATCGAAGATGGATACCATAAAAAATAGAAAATTGCTCGTTATATGCTACCATCAAAAAAATGTTGTTGACAAATGTATTCTTTTTTTGAATGGATAGTTTTGTCCTTAAAGTGCACTGAACAAACCATCTTATGCGTCTTTAAAAAACAAGGAGTTTGTTAAGAGCATATGAAAATGGCATTGCGTTTATGAGAATCGCATAGTTTTTTTTTTATTGGTTTCTATTTTTTTAAAACATTATTGACATTGGTAATGCTACACAAAGCATTGTTTAAACTTTTAAATAACTATCTTCTAAAATATAATCGAGGTTCTAATACGTAGCCCCTTCAATTGTCCGCAGAATCTTCAAGTTATTGCTTTGCCCATAAGTGACAAATGTTCTCTGTAGATGACAGAAGTTTACGTTTTTCTAACAGTTCCATTTATTTTTATTGCAAGAAAATGTTTCCAATCATTGTTTCCTTAATGATTCTTTCTCGCCATTTCTTTCTCAACACCTCTACTTTTCTTTTATACGCGATACATTAACATCACAGTATTCTTTAACAAAATTAGTACCAATCAACGAAAAATAGGTATATTTTACTGTTACGAATATTTTTTATTTATTTTCAACACTAACATAAAAGGTCTGAAAAACAATTATGTGTTCATTGATGCATTACTAATTAACAAATTAAATATATATTAATATTTTTTTAGAAGAAAATCTTTTAAAAATTGTCTAAATATCATTATTAGTGTAGAAATTAGTTTAGCATTCTTAATTTCAAAGCTGATTGATGCATAAATGTGTATATTACGAATGAAATAATCAACGACGAAGTAGGATAGACTAGTACCTAAACACATGTTCTTTGCTACTCTTATATGAGACATACTGTCAATAAATACTTTTACTCTAAAATTTGTAAGCGAGTTCCGTTAATGTGCCCAAACATGTGTTCATAAATTGCTTAGCTTAAACCATTATCAATCATATAAGACAAATTATACTATTTAAATGAATAAAAATTGAATAGAAAATATTCAAATTTTGTTTACTTTGGAGAATATATTATTTCGATTGATATTCTTTTTTTCTACGTTAAATTGATGGAAAAATTGAACGATATAGAATAATATTCATCTGATATTTGTATTCGGAAAGTTTTTTAAAATTTTCTTAGATAGAAAACTCGCAAAGACTTTTTTAAAAAGGATTCGATAAAATTTCTCATGATTGTTTCTCTTATTTCAATTCTGATTATTAAAATTAAATAAAAGTAATCGTATGATTCTTTTTATTCTAGCTTCTAATGATATTCGGCGCGTACTCTGTCAAAAGTCTATGCAAATGTTAATAGAATATAACTACCTAACTTCATATGAGAAGTAACTCAAACAATGACAAATGTTCATTTATAAAAAAAAAAACTAACCATCATTAATGATATTACTACCTAAAAAACTATTTCTGATTTCCAGACATGTTTTTTTTCTTCGAACAATAATTTGATTTAACATTTCATGACGATATTGCTTGTATATTATGTTTGGTTTGATGAAAGAATACGACAAATACAAATGAATCATTTTCACAACGTTTTATCTGATACGTAGAATCATAAATTTAAAAAAGAACAGAACAAGTTGATGTTGATAGTGGTGACTGTTTTTTTCCTTTCATAGCTTACTCTTTCAAATACGCAGTGCAAAGATTTGTTAACATCACTAAATAATGACTGTTGTAGACATACCGAACATTAGTGTCTAAGAGAAACAAAAAGAAAAGAAAAAAAAAGTTTTTCATCTTTCTGTTTATGTAAGTGCGTGTGTATGTGTGTGCATATTTCTTCAATCTTTCAAGAAAATGGGACATCATCCATCTAAACATCATGGTCGTCGCAAGGACACACCTTTTCAACCATGGTCATCAACATCAACTTCTCAACCATCAAATTTAGTACAAAAATATGATTTATCCAAGTTTGCTGTGATTACAGTTATTTTTAATCCAGTAAAATACCAAACTCGTTATGATCATTATCAAAAATTTGAGGCACATATGTCTCATTCTGGTGTAAATTTAATTACTGTTGAATGTATCTTTGAATCAACAACACGTTTTGGTTTACCTCAACAAAATTTCGAAATAACTCGTGCTGGTGAACGTCGTCATATACAACTTATTGCTCCATCTATCTTATGGATAAAAGAAAATTTAATCAATATAGCTATTCAGCGTTTACCTCAAAACATTGAATATGTCGCATGGCTCGATGCTGACATCGAATTTGAAGTATGTATTGAAGGGGCCTTTGAATTATTCGTTTTATTTTCGATTAAATTATGTTGACTTTCCATTTGCGAATGCATTATAATTTTGCATTAAAATAGTAGTAGTTTTATGTTACAGTATAAACATTTTTTGCTTCAGGCAACTACAGTAAAATGTCCTTATTGAAAATTTCTTACTCTTTCACCTTTAGCGTCTTGATTGGCCGCATTTAACTATTGCTGAGTTACAACGTTATCCTATTGTACAACTTTTTGAATTATCTTATTTTCTTGGACCTGGTGGAAAAAAAGAGATATTGCGTCGTGATTATTCGTTTGGGTATTCGATTAGGAATAAGAAACCAATTGATCCAAGACGTTATAATGAATGGTATCCTCATCCCGGTTATGCATGGGCAATGCGTCGCTCAGTATTTAATTCAATGGGAGGCCTTCTTGATTTTTGCATTATTGGATCGGCTGATTTACATTTTGCTTTTGCACTTTTACATCGTATTGAAGAAACACTTCGACCTGGTTTACATCAAGATTATAAAAAATTAGCTATACTATGGGGAGATCGAGTAGCACAAGTAGCGCAGAACGGTGAAAATGTTGGCTATGTACCTATTAACTTATGGCATTATTGGCATGGAGAAAGAAATGATAGAAATTATATTGATAGATGGTAAGTGTAAGAAGAAAGAAATTTTGCATGAATACTTGTTTGATCGTTACATGTGACAAAAAATGTATTTTTTAGGAATATTATCATTATAAATGTTCAGTAAAAATTTATATGATCCTTTTTTATCTTAGGTCAATACTTGAAAAATATCAATATTCACCACAAAATGATCTTGAAAAAAATAACGATACTGGTCTTATTCGTCTAGCTGACAAAAATCGTTTACAATATCCGGAAGCAATTGCACGTATGGAGGCTCTTGAACGTGATATTGTCGCCTACTTTAAATCACGTAACGAAGATGATACTCAAAGACGTATTGTAGCGCAACCTCCACCTGCTATCAGAAAACAACCTTTCATAGCAACAAAAACTCAAACTCATCGTAGGGGTGTCATTAAATCTACAGCACTTCCATCAAGCCATTGGAAAGGTGGTACTAGACCTCAAATATGGTCGTCTGGTCCTGCTGGCACACATGTTGATGATGACAATCCGTACTGGCATCAATGTACTTGTCCTGGACATCATCATCATGATAATCATAATTGTCCATGTTCATCTCATCATATAGATGATCAGCATTGTTGGAATCCGTCAGGACATGAAGACCATCATCATCACGATGATCATGATCACCATCATGATGACCATCATCATCATCACGATGACCATCCAGATAGCTGTTTTCCATCTCAAGAAGGTCATCATCATCATCATCATACAGATGATCATTTTGGAGGAGGTCACTCGTCGTATGAGCATCAACATCATGGAGATTGGAGCCATGTTGATCATAGCGGTTATAATTATGATAATTCAACCGGTGGCGGATTCGATTATCATAGTGGAGGTGGATTTGATAATACAAATTATGGTGGTCCTGGAAGCTTCTACTAATATGATAAGTGAATTTCAAAACATAATTTATATCACACAAGACAAATCCATTATATTTAACTTTTCTATGTAATGCTATATGATCAACTGATTAGAGGAAATTTTCACTGCTGAAAATGGGGCATAAAAAGTGTATTTATAATTATATGTACCATTTTTATCTTATCAATTTTTGAAAATATATTGTAACTTTTATTTTAAAAGCGAAGAGGTTGATTATAAGTTAGAGTATTTAATTTTAGAAGTTGTTGATGATATAGAAGTGATTTCTTATTATTTTTCACCTTTTTATTTCACTTGGTTCTTATGTAAGGATAGTCTCTTATTTGACCATTTCTATCCATGGTTATATGTGTTTATCAACTATTTTACTATTTTCTTCAACTTGTTATTGGAGAAAACATAATTTTCTTCATTATTTATTGATAATTTTATTAATAATTTGTCGCTCTTTTTTGTGTTCATCTTAATAGACACAAGAAAATATACAAATCTATTCGATATATTATCAAAAATAATAATTATTTACGAAGTAATCCTCTCTATTCTAAAGTATTCTTTTTTTAATGAAGAATTGAATAATCAACATTCATTTGTGTAGAATACAATGTAAAGATTATAAACTGTGTCCTTGTGTAGAAGATTTCTGTGCATAAAAGAAAGATTACTCATTTGAAACTCTGTCATAAATCGTAAATAAAATAGGGCGTCTCATTGTTGATTAATGTGTTTGTCGTTCTTTTTTTTCAAGTGCGTTTTTTATTATTATTGTATTATTACGTTTCATCGGACAGAACACTGAATGAAACGCTGTTAAAAAGTATCAAATGAACACTTTTAAGAACTTGGATTATTTTAAAAATGCAATTCGAATTATAGACAATAATTCTAATCATACATAATGAACCAATCTATATTCTTGTATGTTTTCGACATGAAGTATAATGTGAATTTTCTCTGTTGCCAATATTGTACATTTATTTGGAATGATAGAACATATAGTTAATTTTTATTCAAGTGCACTTTGTTATGAGAAAAACTGAAGTTTCTATAATTTAATTTTCGAGTTATTTAAAGGAATGCTCATAACTTCGTCCTACAAATTCAAAATCGAAATCAAGATGTCGCCGCTTATCAATGGTAATATATTTTCATTTGAGTATTCAACAACAAATAAGTAATCGAATGGTAAACTATAGCACTGAATCTACAGATCAATTATTAAAAATAAGATTTTGAACATAATAATGCTCTCGAGATTCATCTCTCGAGCAATATTTCAAATTGTTTCTACTCGATCGACAATACCTGTAAGATAATCAATTAATATTTGTTCATTTTTTATTAATTTCTCTTGTGTTTTTTCTGTTAGTCTATATTTCATCGACTACAAAGTTCCACTTCAAATTCCAGATCAAACCGTCAACAAACATCTACAACTTCTGGAATAAAAGAAATAGATGAGAATGAAAGTTTTCTTAATAGTCGTGATGCAGCACAAGCAATTGCTGAAGAAGAAGTAATTGATAGTGTTGAACAAGCAACAAGTAATCGTGCTGAAATGATTAGTCAAGCTATGAAAAATTATTTAATGAAATCAAGAGAAAAACGTTAGTAAAACATTTTAAATCATCAAAAAAAAAAGAAAAATTTCTAATTTTTTAAATGTTTTTATTTTTGTTTTTTAGAAAAGGTTCTTGATGAAAAAAATTATGAATATGAAATAGGACGAAGACATTTAGCTAGAATTATGGGTGAAGATCCCGAAAGCTTTAATCAAGAAAAAATTGATGTAACTAAATGCTTGAATGAAGATTTTTCTTTTTTTTGTATATGAATGATATTCTAGGATGCTTTGAACTATTTACTTCCATCAGGTTTACTTGATGAACGTGCCCGACCTAAAATGAGGGTAAGAATAGAATTATTTAATTTATTATCTTTTCTTTTGTTTATTTAGCCACCTGAAGAAATGTATCCAAAAGAAAAAGGTATTATTGAAATTTTATTTCTAATTGACATTTATTTTATTTTATTTTATTAGCCGTACAATTTGATAAAGCTGGTCGACCATTTCATTTTCTGTATTATACAGCTAAACAAAATTATTATGATGTTTTACATGTAAAAAAAAAACAAAAACAAAGAATTTCTTTTCTATTTATCTTATTTTCTAAATTTAGACGGTTGCTAGTAAAATCGAAGAACTTAAAAAAGCTGAAGTTGCTATGCTTACATCCGGTCATGAACCCGATTATAGTCAAAATGAGTACGTATTAAAGCTTGAAGTTTTTTTTTTTGTTTGTAGAGAATTAATATTTGTTTTTTTTTTTTGAAATGAAAGTGAATTTAATTATACACAATGGGAAAGTAAAGAAATTTTTGAACAACGTTTCTTAGAAAAACTTGATGATGCACAAGTAAAAAATTTTTAAAGTTATTTTTAAGAAAAATCTTATTTTATTCTTGTTGTAGTATAAAATATTAATAATATGTTTAAATCGTCTTGTTAAAAATCCAATGGCATACACAATTAAAGATTATATAAATTCATTTCGAACAAAATTAGCCGATACAATAAGTAAACAACATATTGAACCAGTAAAAAAAACAAATTTTTTTCTTAAAAAAAAAGAAAACAAAAGTAAAAATAATTTAATTATTTAAGTTACGCTACGATGTTGATGGTCGACCCTATCAAATAGCTACTGGTAAGTAGATTAAATAGAAATAAATAGTATTGATCAAATTTTAATGATGTCGATGATGATGCATTGAGAAACATTTGATCTAAAAGAATTTGAAATTGATCATTTATTAATATAGTTTCATTTGATAATGTTGATGTTTCAATTGATAATGTTGATATTGGTGTTGTTATTTCATCTATTTCGAATTCTTCTTTTATTGCACTAATTAATGGAAATTTATGTACAGAATTTTGTTTACTTTTTCGACAAAATTGTCCATTAAAATCATCCATATCTAATGTCCAAACCATTGCACCACCGAAACCTTCACGTTTGACATATTTACACTTTAAAATAGAATAAATTTATTATTATTTTTTTTTTTTTCTCGAAAACTTTATTTTCATACTTTATTTCTAACACTATCTGGATCATCATATCCAATCCATGTTCCATCTTTAAAACTAATTGGAATTTGATGTTGTTGATGCCAATAACGTTTAAAACCTTCTTTTAATTCTTTTTTACATATCTAAATAATTTTTATTTATATATTAATCTTAAAAAATAGACAAATAAAAGAGTAAATATCATACTTCAAAATAAGTAAGTAAACCACTTTCACCTAAATATGGTGATGATACTCCACCAGAACCACCACCACTTTGTCCTAATGCTTTTAATGGATCTCTACCATCAGCTGTAAAAGCTCGACCATAACCAGGAATACCTATATTAAGACGTTCTCGTGAACAACCTGCTTCAATCCAATTATACATTGAATTATTCTAAACATAAATAAAAAAAAGAATAATTTGAAAACGAACGAAGAAGATTTAGTTTTGTTTTTTTCTTAATATACTGTATTCAATTCTCTATCCATGCCAGTTTCACCAGTTCGATGAAATAAGGCACTATGATGACCTATTTTATTATACCAACCACCATATAAATCATATGTCATAACATTAATCATATCAACATTCCTAAATAAGAAAAAGAAAATCAATAAAGATTGTCTTTATTTTTGAATAAAAATCTTACTTGCATAGAACCGGTACATCATAACCTTGTTTTATTAAATACTTTCCAGCTGCAACTGCTAAACTAATTAATAAACGATCTTTTTTAGATTTTTTAACTTCTTTTTTAAACATTTTGTGCATTGTCTAAAAAGAAAAAAAAAATTAATTTTCTTAAAAACAAAAGAAAAAAATTAATGATATTTTTAAAATACTTTGGTTAATAATCCAAAACGTTCACGATGTTCAGCAGAGGGAAATTCCCAATCTAAATCGATACCATCAAAACCATATTGACGACAAAATGTTATTACATTTTCACTAAATGATTCTCTAGAAAGAAAAAAAAACATCCTTGAAAAAAGAAAAAGAGAAGAAGATTTATACCTTGATGATTCTGATCCAACTAATGGTTCGAAATCTCCTGCTTTTCCCCATCCTCCACATGAAATTAGAATTTTTAAATTTGGATTCTTTTCTTTTAATTTCATTATACGAGGATAAAGTGGCTAAAACAGTTAAAACAAAACAAAAAAAAGAATGTTTGATTCTAGATTTCTTTTTTTTTCTAACTTGTTCTCCTTGATAAACGTTAATATCATTAGTTAATTGTGGTTGCAATGATCTACCATGAAGATTAGCAAATGCATATAAAATATGTGTACATAAATCTGGTGGAATATCTTCTGGATAAAGTCGAGATTCTTTCAATGATCTATGTGCACCCCAATTTGTAAAATAACATATACGATTATATTTTGCTTAAAAAAAGTAAAAAGCAAAAAAAAACTTTTATTTTGTTTTTTATTAAAATAAATTTTACCTGATAAAATTAAATCTAATAGAAAAATAAGATAGATAGAAGACAACCACATTGAGAAAAGAATAAATGAATGTTGTGCATGACATTTATCTACAAATAAATGTGATCGTTTGCTTCTATTGTTTAAATAGATGATTGCCTCTTGTTTGACTACACGTTACTATCTTCAAGCTAATCTTATGTTCAACAAAAATTTGAGCTGAAGGAGAACAAATTTTTTCTTTTTCTATATAACCTTTCTTTCTTCATTTCCTTTTTTTTTTTTGTTGTTCAATATTTTAGCTAAACATAAATGGTGTACAGCAACAGTTACATTACGTGAAGGAACTGGAAAAGTTACAATTAAATCACCATCTGTTAAAACAGCTGTTAATGATATACTTTATTTTACACGAATTATTCATCGGTTTGATTATTTTTTTTTTGTTTTTTTCTTCACCTTAATTATTTTATTTTTTATACGTATAGTGATCAACTTTTGTATCCATTTAAAGTATTAGATCGTGTTAATTTGTTTGATATCAATGTTGTTTATGATGGTATTGGTTTTACAGCCCAATCTATTGCAACTCGTTTAGCTATATCAAAAGCATTGTGTTCATTTATTTCATCAAAAGAAGTGGAATATCTTCGATTAGGTTACATTTTTTTATTTAAAATTGTTTTTTTTTTGATGCAAATGTAATTTAATTATAGCCGGTCTTTTAACTGAAGATGCTAGACGTAAAGAACGTAAACAACCAGGCAAACGAAATGCTCGACGAAAATATAAATTGTATGTAGAATTTTTTTCTAAGTTATTTTATTATTTTAATTTGAAATTTTTCTTTTAGTCGAAAGCGTTAAAATTCAACAAATTCTTTTCGAAAGAAAAATGTTTGTTTACAACTAGAACATTTTTTTTTGTATTAAATTGTTTTTTTTTTGATTGATTAAAATCAAGGAAAAAACATAATCAATATCAACTTAGTTTTTTATTAGATATTATTATCAACAAGGATTTTATAATAGAAGATCTTGAATCAATGAATAGAATTGTTTCTGAGAAAAAGAATCAATTGATTTGCTTTATAGAAAATATGTATTTGAATTTGAAAAATAATCATGTGATTAATAAGTATCATTCGTTTTTAAAGAAACAATTAATGGATTTATTTGCAAAGTAGAAGCGAAAATTGATTTTGTACAAAATAATCTGATAGAAATGAAATATAAATATTCGATATATGTCATCGTTTCATAAATATGACGGAACCTTTCTATATATCATCTTTTATTGTACCCTATGAATGCCAAAGGAGAATTCAGCTGACAAAAGTTTCGAACAATTGTCATCAAAAATGGAAGTATTTAAAAACAAGAAATTAAAAAAGTTTTCAAGATAAACTCATCCAGAATCAAATGGTGTCAACCGCTTTCGATATTAGATTCACGATAGAATTATCAATTGATAAAAAATAAAAACTATGCTTTTGAGTTTTAGTGTTAATTAACATCAATAATTATTACGTTTTAGTATATTCTCATTGAAAATCCTCGAAACACAAATATCTAAAAGAAAGATCAGATATTCAATTATAAAATGTAGAATTTCCATTGACTTGTAGTCATTCTTTATTTGTTATCTTTCGACAATTTTATATTCGATGGTACTAAAGAATGAACTAGTTTCAAGTGAAATCTCTTGTGAATATGAAAAACCAAAGAAATTTTTAAATAAAGTGAAAAATAAACTTTTCTTCTACAGATTATTGTAGAAGATATTACATTTAATATTTAATCAGAATAACAAAGAATTCCCTTTTATGTTAAATAATAGAAAAATTTCAAACTTTACAAAATTGTCAATTTTCTTTTTCAAACAAGTTTATCGTGTCGATGTAAAGTTTAATAGTTGAATACTTACTTAATCGTTCAACTATGACAATGAACAAAGCAAACAACTGATGACATTTTTTTTTAATTAAGATCCCACAAAAATGTTTGTAAAATTCTACATCTTTGGCTACATTTTTCACAATTTTAGAAGAAATATTCATGAGAAATAGGTTTGAAGTAAAAAATATGAAAGTACTGAAAGAGTTCGTTTCCTATAGGCTTATGTCATTGTTATTTTATTAATTCAAAACAACCTAAATATTTCACTGTTCTATTTAAGATTTGCACCATTTTGTTTCAAACTACATTTTTCAACATACAACATAATAAATCTTTCATAAAGCAAACTTGGCTTTTAAAAAATTGAAAAATATTGATAGATGTCAGTTCTCACTCTTTGTTTTTCTCCATGAAAACCAGCATCAGAAACCTTGAAATCGTTCTAGAGATATTGATCTTGATGAGTACAGGTTTACAGAAACTAATAGAAATCGCAGTTGACTGGTCAAGTGTAAATTTGGGCGCCTAAAAGAAAAACTTGTTTGAAAAATAAAGATGACAGTTTTATAAAGCTTAAAATTCTGTCTCATTTGACATATTCAGAAAACTTTTTTACTTAAAAAGTAGAAAACAATTGCATCAATACGAAGTGTAATCTATTCTAGGACACCCATTTATAATGGAAGTACAAATATATGTTTATATTCACATTGTTGATCCGCAAGTCTGGATTCATTTCGAATCTTCGCTTATAAAATATAGAAAAGAATAAAAAAAAAAATATTTCTTTTTTTTATAAATATTTCAATTTTGTTCTATGATATTAACGAACTATTATTAGTGTTTAATAGGAAGGAACCTGGTGTTTTTACACCATAGTATTCCTATACGATTTGTATTTCATTTTTTCAATAGTTTTTATTCACTTGATACATATGAATAAGCAATGCATATATTTATAATAATGATCATTATCTTCACGTGGTCCAGTTTTCTTTCTACTCTCATCAATTGGAATGTTATCTGAAACATTTTATACAGTATGCACATGCATGAGCTGGTAGTATCAACTTATTTGCACCGTCGAAATGCTTGATTTTTTTTCGTTCTTTTTTTTTTGTACGGTAAAAAAAGAATAAATTATTGCCTAGAAAAAAAAAGAAAAAGAAGTATCTACCATTCTACTGTCATAACTAACACGTGATTATGTCGTCGAACGATTATCAATATTATGTATCGAATGAACAACGAAAACGGAGGATAAAACTATGTCTTTTGGAAGCATTGGTTTCTGCTCTTTTTATTATACCAGCTTATCCTGTGTCAATTTGTTTAAAAAACACACTTCAAACACATATCATCAACTCAGTAAATCTTAAGCCAGATTCAGATAGTTTCAAATTGTGGTGTAATCCACCAATAACTGCTATTATGACTTATCATCTTTTCAATATAACAAATCCTATTGAAATAGTTACTAATCCTGCTTCTGCTCTTATACAAGTTAAGGATACTCCTCCTTATACTTATAATATAGAAACAAATAAAATAAATATTCATTGGTCAAATGATAATAAACGTTTAAGTTATGTAGTACAACGATTATTTACTCGTGATCCAATTCGATTTGATCCATCATCAATTAATCATACTGGTGTATTTATTGATTTACTTCGAGCAACTTTTCGAACACAATATTCAGTTAAAGCAGCGCAAACATTCTATGATTTCGCTGGCATGGAAACATTTTATCATCGAAATGCTGTTGAACAAATAGAAGGATTTACTTCAGATTTATTTAATATGGTTCAAGACTACATGATAGGACCAAATAAAAAGAAATCAGGCTTTGTTTATCGACAAAATGGCAGTGGATTATTTAATTTTTCAATACAAGTCGGTAAGATAATATACATTTAAAAAGTTTTATATTATTTGTGTGAAAATTATCACTTGCTATTCAAATAGTTGAATATTTTTGTTTTATTTTGAGTCTAATAAAACAAAACCATAGAAATTATGAAAATTGACTGCAGAATTCTTAGAATATATAAAGGAAGACAATGAAATATAAATCTTATTTCTATATAAATATCCATTGAAAAGAAGAAGCAAATATTTTCCTATGGGTTGATTTAACTTCTGTTTTCTAAGTTACAATCACTACTATGAACATATCTTTTGTCGAAATGTTCTCGAAATCTCCCATCACATTGCTTCGACTAAATCTCCACTACCCGCATCTTTCTAGTTTGCAATTCTATCATTGAATAGAGCAATTTAGTGGACATTTTCCTCTAGAAGATTTATTGATTTTGATGACATTTGTTTTGTAGCTAGTACCTAACTGGGGCAGAAAAGCCTGAATACTGATATCTTGAAAATAGTGATTGTAACTTTGACAATAGAAGTTAAATCAGCTCATGATAACAATTTTCTATGTTCTTTTTTTTTTTGAAAGATATTTATATGGAAATAAAATTCGTCTTTCCTCTATTAGTGACACCATTTTCCATATATATTCTATCATGTACGAAACATTTAGAATAGATTTTATTAATCGAACGAATAATGTTTGCTGAAACGATTGCAATTTTGTCTAGTCACAATCATACCTAATGTAACTGCATCCGACACCTTCTCATCCATGCTTATCCACTCATAACCGAGCACTATTGAGCCTAACAATTAATCAAAGAAATAAAGCTTTCTATAGGGATAGTGAATTCAATATCAGCCTTGTTCATAAGTATGAACCATAACACATAAGTTATAGTTATTTGCTAACTAGTGATTAAGAAAAATTTCTTAAGGATATTTCATAATTTTTCAATTATAAAGTAAGAATTAGAATAATAGAGCAAGAATTTTAAAAAAATGTTTTTCAAGAATGTCTCCGTTTGTTCTGGTTTTTAAAAATGCATACAATTTCAAAATTGGTAGATAAACAATATCATAAAAGTAGTACAATTAGTAACAAAAAATCATTGATATATCCAATACAAGAATGTCTACTTGCAAATATTTATATTTTGTTTAGATCCAGAGAAAAAAGGTCAAGTACAAACATTTGCTAGTGAATTCGCTTCATTTAGCATATCTTCTCCGTCTAATTATAAATTTCCTATTTATGATGGTCTTACATTTCCCTCAATGCTTTTTGATAAGCCAGCG